TTGAAGGGATGCCTAGAAGGGAAAGTTCAAAGAGGACAATATCTGCTAGCGGTGGGCTTGGGTTGTTACAAATAGTATCTGAGTCAGTCACCAGATGGTGCAAGTCACTAGTCGGAATAGGGCTAGACTCTCTCCATAGTAGACGCGTTTTAAAACCGTGAGTCTGACGGCGATACGTAACGGGACAAAGCAGACAATATCTACTAGAAGTGGGTTTGAGCTGTTACAGCTCCAATAGATCGTTAAGAGCTATACCATTTTTTTTCTTTGTTTGCATTTACTATATTTTTTCTGGAATTGACCCATCTCCTTTTGTAGTTTCTTGCTACTGTTTCTCATGAGATCAGGACGCCAATGAATGGTGTTTTAGGTAACTATGAAGTTGATTCAGTGGATATTTTTCATTTTGCCAAACCATAAACCTCAAGTAATAGGATTTTTGCAAACAAAACACTCACTTTCAGGGATGCTGAAAATGCTGATGGACACTGATCTTGACCCAAACCAACAGGACTATGCCCAAACTGCATATGATAGTGGGAAAGAATTGATATCACTAATAAATGAGGTTCTTGATCAAGCTAAAATAGAATCAGGCAGGCTTGAACTCGAAGATGTACCGTTCGATCCACGAGCTTTACTGGATAATGTGCTGTCGATGTTCTCTGGAAAATGCCATGAAAAGGGGATAGAGGTAAAAATCAAGTTATTAACATGATTTTCACTATTTCTGCAGTAAAATTGACTGTATTTATTTATTTTTTTTTTTTTTGCTTGAGAGCAGTTAGCTGTTTATGTCTCTAATCTAGTCCCGGAAATCCTCATTGGCGACCCGGGACGGTTTCGGCAGATAATCACCAATCTTGTGGGAAACTCAATTAAGGTTATTTATACTAACACCATTTCCTTTGTCCCTAAAATTGTGGTTACTCTTTGAATTCATGTTACCAAAATTGTGGTTGTAATTTTCTATCATTTATGAGCAGTTCACCAACGACAAAGGACACATATTTGTTACCGTGCACCTAGCCGACGAACTGAAGACTCCGCTTGATGCGATGGACAGCGTGCTAAGACAAGGCTTAGATTTAGTAAAAGAGACGTCGAAAAAATGTTATAATACATTAAGCGGGTTTCCAGTTGTTGAAAGATGCAAGAGTTGGGAGCATTTTGAGATATTTAGTAGAACAGATGCGATGAAGGAAGATGACTTAATTAAATTGCTTGTATCGGTCGAGGATACAGGTCATGGAATTCCTTTAGAAGCACAAAGTCGAATCTTTACGCCTTTTATGCAAGCTGATAGCTCGACTTCGCGTAAGTATGGTGGGACTGGAATAGGGCTGAGCATCAGCAAATGTCTGGTGGAACTAATGGGTGGGGAGATAGGTTTTGTGAGCCATCCTAGTGTTGGCAGCACATTTTCATTTACTGGATCTTTGAGAAAAGGCGATACAAGGTCTCTCGATACAAAGTGGCAGCAGAACGATCCAACTGTATTGGATTTCCGAGGACTGCAAGCGTTGGTAATAGATAATAGAAGCATTAGAGCTGAGGTAACAAAATATCATCTCAAGAGGTTAGGGATCTCGGTAGATATAGTTTCGAGTCTGGTTTCAGCGCACGAATACATAAGGAACAATTGCATCAAAAGGTACAATCCTCAGCCTCTTAACATTATTTCTCGAGTTTTAGCTTGACCCTTAACCGTAATATACTATGGATCATTGCCGATCGGTTGATCGATTCTTTATGTTCTTTTCCTCAGTCCATCCAAGTCATTGGCCATGGTGCTTATCGACAAAGATGTATGGGATAACCAAACCGGTCCGACAATCGCTCGTGTATTTAAAGAACATGGGGTAAATGGCAAAGAATCAACACGAAGTCCTAAGATCTTTCTCTTGGCTACCTCTGATCTTCAAGAGACGAGAGCTCTTAAGTCGACCGGTTATATTAATAATGTAATGACGAAACCTCTTAGGTTGGGCGTCTTGATTGGATGCTTCCAGGAAGCTTTTGGGAAGGTAAATCGAAAGAAGCCGTCGATTCTCGGGAACTTACTGAGAGAGAAGCAAATACTGGTGGTCGATGACAATGCCGTTAATAGACGAGTTGCAGAAGGCGCTCTAAAGAAATATGGAGCAAAGGTTACCTGTGTGGAAAGTGGTAGAGCTGCTATTTCCTTGTTGAAACCACCACACAAGTTCCATGCCTGCTTCATGGATCTTCAGATGCCTGAGATGGACGGGTAAGTAATTTTCCTATGTTCACTTCGACATGGACTAATCTTGTTATGGCTTTAGAGATAGCAGAATGTGATTGGCTTCAATTATATCCTAATGTTTAGCTAGATGGGCTATAGAATTTTTAGATAGATCGTACGAAGTAGTTTCGGGTGGTTAGATTTAACGCTTCCTTGTGGGGTCGGTCCCTAGCCCTTTTGGGGTGGTTAGATTTAATGCTTCTTTGTGGACGTAGGTCCATAGCATAGAAGTCAATCTGAGTGATTCCCTCCCGTACGAAAAGTAACTAATAGAATGACTCGTATGGAATTTTTTTGAGTTTGGCCCGGAACCGAAATTCAGTTTGTTCTCTTTCGTCAAGTAGGTCAAAAAAGAGGTATACGGACGACTTTTGCTTTGCCTTAGACTCGAGTATTTCCGGGTGGCTAGATTTAACACTTCCTTGTGGGCGTCGATCCCTAGCCCTTTTGGGGTAGTTAGATTTAACGCTTCCTTGTGGGCGTCGGTCTCTAGCCCTTTTGGGGTGGTTAGATTTAACGCTTCCTTGTGTGCGTCGGTCCCTAGCCCGTTTTTGTAATCATGAGTTTAGCCTTGTTCTTTTGGATTGGATTCCTTCTCTATCGGGGCGAGAATCCTTTTATCCGAGCTTGTTTTTTGTATGCCCTTGTCTTAGTGTTTCCTTTCTCTCAATGAAAAAATGCAATTATCCCTCTTTTGTGACGAGCAGGTTTACAGCAACACGAGAGATACGAAATATCGAAAAGAAGGTTAGCGAGGACATTGCTTCTGGGAAAGCATCAAGTGATATGTTTGGGAATGTGGCTGTTTGGCATACACCAGTGTTGGCCATGACAGCTGATGTGATTCAGGCTACAAATGAAGCATGCATGGCCTGCGGGATGGATGGTTATGTCGCAAAGCCTTTTGAAGAAGAAAAATTATATTCAGCTGTAGCTAGATTCTTCGAGTCTGATGGCGGGACTAGAATATGAATACAATGACTAGTTGTAGCCTCCTATTTCGAGTTTAGCGACCCCGACATCTCGTAGAATCATCCCAAGTACGCACTGATCTTTCTTGTTGGGTAAGTATTTGATACTGTTCTGGCAATTGTTGTTTCAATGCAATCATGGGCAAGCTGGTTTTAGTTTCAATGTTCTTGCAAAAATAATGAAATTCAATACTTTTTTCAGTGACGACGGGATCGATCTGAATGGAGGTTATCCGCCATCGAGGGATCAAGGTACGGTTTATGATCAATGAACACTAACCAGTGACTTCATGTACTGATCTTTCCTGCCTATCATGTTGCATGAATGTGAAACACTTTTCTAAACGCTCTGCATCGATCGCAGTATGTTGCCCAGGCAAGTACTCCACAAGGGTAGCAGTATGCTCAAGTTGCTTCTCTTTCAGTCATGCCATTTGCAAAATGAACCAATGTGAATACACACGCCCGACATCTCAGCTGCAAGACTGGATACCGAAGTCGAATGAGCGTTCCATTTTAGTGCCCATTCTACCATATAACGACGTAGCTGGGCATTTCGATATAAACACAGGAACAAACAAGGCTCATCATCACGGGGTTTATTAAAATGTTGGCTGGATTCCGAACCCGAATCAGCTTTACTGGTTTCATGAGCTCCATGAATGGCAAATTGTGGAATGAAAAGCTGTTTCCATAAACCAACCCTTTTTTATTGCTAAGCTGCTCCAGTGAAAATTGTGTCCGGATGATTAATCGTCCTACCAATTCTTGGATCTTAATTCTTTGGTGCTTTCAGTGCAATAGCCAACTCAAAGGGTGAATAGAGGTACAACTCTGAACCGACCCCAACGGGATAGCATTCACTGCACCACACGTTTCTTTCGCCAAGCACTCTCTCAAACGTTTCCACTCCTGCCCTCACAAGCAAATAGGTTCCATTCAAGATACCAGGCAACCAGATGAAAGTGAATGGCCTGAGTAAATTTTTTAGAGAGTGTACTCTTTGTTTCGACCCTCGATATGGTTCTCGACATTCATGACCGAAAGAAGAATAAGATGAATAATATTGTATTTTAGGACGAGAGATTTACTTGTACAGCAGAATATTTGTTTCAAATTCTTTGCACGACTGTTGATATGCACAGTTATTTTCTGCTTCTTTGTCGGTAGTATTGACCTGGCTGTAGCACAAGGAAAGGGTATTGATGCAAAGATCATCAAGCCTCAATGGAATGGACCTAGCCAAGTATGGGATAGCCGTTCCGCTAGGCTTCCCCGCCATGTTGATGGGCGCCCCCACCGATGTTTGAGGTGGTGTAGCATAAGTCCTTTCCCGTAAAGGGGTGAGCAGTTCTCGAGGAGCGAAGCAGCTTGACTTATAGTTGTAGATGGGAAGGAGCGAAGCAACTTAAGTTATAGTTGTAGAGGGTTTTTTTCTGAAATGATTGGAGTTAATATGGTTGAGGATTTTGTGCTACAAAAATGGACATAACCATAGGAGAGTGAAGTCACTAACGTTGTTTAGGTGCCGTAGATTGTTCCATAACAGGGTGGCTGGCACAAGATGATCAGGCTTATTAAGGCAATAAGCCTAGCTTGTTATTGTTAAAGGCTAGCTTCTTGTTGTTTTTGCAGCAGGCTAGCTTGTTGTTTTGGCATCTGCAGCTTTAGCGTGCAGATAATGAAACTTTCAAGAACAATTTATATGGCCAAAGTTCCCAAAATCAGTGCAATGAAGAGGAGAAAACTGCTGTACATAGACATGAACGTGAAAATTCTTGGTTGATAATTTATAACATTTGTGATCAAACAGCAGTAATGGGAACCTATAGAATATCAAGAACCATCACATAAATTACATCAATCGGGTTGAAAATAACAGACCAGAGAGGAAATCCATGGCCCTAAGGATCATGGTATTAATGAGCTAACTTTTAGCAGCTATCTTTTTATTAAGTTCTATGAAAATCTACACGTTTGATTTTATTTTACCAGTTTAATTAATTTATACAAACTAGTTAATCCAACTGTAGTGCTATACCTTGATTTGAGGTTGTTATTAGGTGTCTTGATTAATCTGATACAAATTCGAACCAGGATAAGATATGCTATCTTAGCTTTCAACTGCTACTTACAGCTGCTTATTTTGAGCACTCGAAACTCCTTGCCTGGTATACCACCATGTCGAGGACAATTCTATCACTTGCTTCTGTGGCATTCGACTTGCCATTCGTTTCAATTAATTTTCCTTCAGAACCTGAAAAAGGGAGTGATTGCATTTGAGACAATAATGTCACAAGCGTTTGATTTTTTTCTTCTATACCTCCTTCAGAACTTACTTGAATTGCTTTGAGGATCCTTATTAGCATGAACCACCGTATCCTGGCCAATAGAACTACCGACCATTTTTGTTTTCATCTCATCACTGTGGGCTGCTGTGGACCCAGCTGAGTTCAACGTCACAGTCCTTGCAGGAGGCATATCATGGTCATGATGACCCTCATACGTGGTAAGAACCACTTTTGGATCATGAGATGCCCTCTCTACATGTTTCTTAACTGGACATCCAGGACTTGAGCATCTGTAGTAACTCCTGCACAAAATAATAGCACAAATAAAATTATCAACCAAGTTTTGATATATAATAATTATTCAGCAATTGTGAGATCACATATCAATTGAGAGGAGAGTGAAACATTTTTTATAAAGATGTGGAAACCTCTCCTTAACAGATGCGTTTTAAAAAGCTTGAGAGAAAACTCGAAACTTCATGGACCTAAAAACCAAGACATGAATGCTCTTTCTTTCTCCTTACAGTGATTGGATCCATATAAGTGTTGGCTTTAATTTACATGACTAAAGCATTAATCTATATTTCTTCACCAATAATAAACAAGAGCATGATGGGAAATGAAAAAGGGAAGTAATCTACTCAGGAGAATTAAAAAAATTATCGCTCAACAATATTCATACAACCCTTCAATTTGTTAACTATATTCAATCTTAGACAAGATTTTGCAATTGATTAATCAATACCTAGGATTTGGATTGCCTTTCACTAGTTTCTGTCCGTACTTCCGCCAGCGGTATCCATCGTTAACAATGTCAACCTCACTGGGTGTTTGAACAACAACACGAGATTCAACCGTTGACTTGTCTGCTACTGTCACGTCAATATTACATATTTTCTTCCTGTTGAGAATAATCATGTTTTAGTCCACAATTGTACTGAAATAAAAAAAAAAAAAAAAAAAAAAACAGTCCGTGCTTTAGCATACTCTCGTTTCAAGTCTCGTGTATCATCACTGTCCACCTCATCATTGATCCTAGACCTTTTCGAACCTTCATCTTTTTCCTTATCATTGGCCATGTCTATTGACAGTTGAAGCGCATCACCCGGCTCAGTTTTACGAGGTGTCTGGCCAAGTGCAGTGGAGGTCTTATCTTCAAGTACAGAGACAATGGAATAAATCAAAGAACTTGCGAGTATAACCAAACCAAGATTTGAAACTATATAGTTTCTTTCTTACCTTGTGAACTTCTGGAAGCATGATCATCTAGTTTTTCTTCAACCATGTTAACAACTCCAACAGCAACAGGAATGTGAGGTTGAGGTCTAGGGTGATCGTGCGGGCCAAAGTAAATAATATCTGTAATTTTCCCATCATGAGTGCGCTCCAGTTGTTTTTTCACCATGCAAGTTGGATGCGTGCATCTGTAATAGCTTCTAACAAAGACATTTCCTTTTACTAGTTTCTGACCATATTTTCGCCAGTTATATCCATCCTCTGACACTTTCTCTCGTATTGTAGAGGTGATACTTACTTTCAAGTCAGGATGCGAGTCCTGATCCGCATGAATTGGGTTCTGGGTCACTTTCTCAGACACTACATTAGAGATATCTCGATCCACTAGTGGGATTGTAACGTCAGGCTGCTTAACAGCCTCTTCAAGTGTCTCCCTGGAAGCCGCAGTGCTTTTGTGATCAGAATTTGATGCATTAGTTCCACCAGGATCCTCCTGAGACGCTTGCGATTGGCTAAATGAACTTTGTTCATGCTCCAATCTATCAGAATCAACTTTAGTCTCTATTTGGTCCCCTGAAGAAACCATATGCACAGTGAGCTTAGATCATAAGCCACAGAGCTCTAAACAACTCTTATTCTTCACACTTTGATTGATCCAGGAACTGAATGCCACGCAACATCCAGCTGGATACTGAAACCTGATAAGAGATGTAACAAAAAAGATTTTTACTTGGAAGTCAGATTGGACTTGCTTGCCTCAGTATAACCGAAAATCCGCCAGATATTAACAAACAATTTATCATTATTCGAGAATGGTTATTATATGCATGGAAAATAAAATAATTTGAGGATGCCCCCTTAAAAACAAGCAATTCTATTTTACTTCAGAGTAATAGTCATAAAGAAGGTTTAAAGATTTGAATCATAGTCAGCATCCCCAAGTTCATGAATTATAACGTCAAGCAATGTCTCACTTCGAATATGAAAAGGTGTTTATACTCATGAAAAGTGGAAATTTCCATTTACCCCAAGAACCAAAAAATGGAAATTACAGTGTCAGCGTCGATTTAGAATACTACTTTTTCTAATAGAAGAAGGATTGACATTGAAAATATGCCGTATTTAAGCCAAAACATTGAGCATTTAAAAGTTTAGGAAAACGCGACAAGATATATTATTCAATTTACGAGTTCATCTGAGTTCTCAATTAATGACCAATTTTTTTTAAAAGAAAAAGAATATACACAGAAATTGAATTCAGCGCGCAGCAATCCACTTGCACACCATTCGATGAAATCCACGAGGCGAACAAAAAAACTATAGTGCTCGAAGTAAAACTCTCACTCCTACTTATAGCTTAGAAAGAGCAGAAAAATAATTAGTAACTAATTTCATTCAAAACATGCAGTCCAAGTAGGCTCAGCTCGAGCTGAGTTATTAGATCTCCAGGTTCCAGTAACGATCAGAAATATTAAGATCCAAACTAGAAAATTCCGACTTCAATTTCAGAATCACATACGAATATAGGTTAAAAAAAAAAAAATACTCGTCTAGTGCTATAATCACGAACTCTTTTCCTAAAATTACAATAAAAATAGTGAGTTAGACACGAGAAAGGGAAAAGAAAAACTCAACCTCCACCTCAGACGAAGCCTCGAAGTTTCAAGCCCTAGAAAAGCACACAGGTGTAGTAATTTGACTTGGAAGGACAGAATTCCGCCAGAAAATAGCCACGACCGTCAATTAAGAATCCAGCCTCGGAATTCGTGCAGGCGATTGAGAGCTGCAGAAGACGAGCTAAGTCAGTGAAGAAGAGAATAAATGGAAGTCAAATTCAACCTCCGATGTGAGAAGAAGGTGCAGTGAGGAGGAAGAAGAAGAAGAAGAGAGAGAGCGAGAGATAGAAGTAAAATTGAAATGGTTACAGTTGAGAAGCAGTGATTGGAGCTCCGGCTGAGAGGCGTCCGATGAAGTTCCCGGCAAAGTTGGTAACAGCTAAGAGCATATTCTATGGCCGTTGTTTGGTAACGCACAAGCTTCCGCTTCCAAAATTCCTAGATGCTATCATTTATATATTACTAATTTACGAACCTATTATCATTCCAATTTACTTTTTTTTCTTATTTATTTATAAAAATGTTTGTTAGGGAGAGGTTTTCACACCCTTATAATAAAGATTTCTGTCCCAGGATCTTACAATTCACCCTCTTCACCCTCTTAAGGGCCAACGTCTTTGCTACCACACTGCCCCGTTTCTGGCTTTAATATTAATTTTAACAGCTCAAGCACACCGCTAATAAATATTGTCCGCTTTTTGACTCGTTATGTATTGTTGTCAGTCTCACAATTTTAAAACATGTTTGTTACAAGGAGGTTTTCACACCCTTAAAGAAATGTTTAGTTGTCTCTCCCATCCATATGGGATCTTACAATTCACCCCCTTGGGGCCAACGTCTTCGCTAGCACATTGCCCCGTGTCTGTCTCTAATATCAATTTTAACAGCTTAAGTCCACCGCTAATAAATATTGTCCGCTTTAACTGTTATATATCGTCATCGGTCTCACAATTTTAAAACATTTTTGTTTTAATCAATTGAGTTAAATTTAAATTTGGGGGGAGAGCGAAATGTGGTGACAAATGGGCCCCAACAACAATTGTTAGATAAAAGGTCGACGTGGCTCTGTCCGTTGCTCTGATGATTCATGATAATTCAATGGATCGACAGTGCTGAGACTTGAATCTCGAAGAAAAAGAGTCTGGTGTAGCAGATCGCCCAAGCGACAAATCTCAGATCTGGAGTAGAGTAGTCTTCATTTCTTTGACTTAGGATAGCATGTTTAGACGGTTGTATTTCATATTCACACATATGCATTCGATAGTGAATTTAGAGATTGAATTTCAATTTAAACAAATGTTCAAAATGTGTTCCGTAATATATTTATAGACGATAAAACTAATTGCAAAACTAAATTTTATATTAAATATAAGCCATCTATATTTTACGTCTTATGTTTTATCTTCTTAGTTTCTCCTCCTTTTACAGGAATTAGAAGTAAATATAAATTTAACCCGACATCGGGAACAATAATTTCAACTGTAACGGCTCAAGTCCACTGCTATTAGATATTGTCTTATTTGAGCTTTCTCTTTCGGGTTTCCCCTCAAGACTTTAAAACGTCTGCTAGGAAAAAGTTTCAACACCCTTTATCACAATTCACCCCCTTCAGGGCCCAACGTCCTCTTCAGGCTTTCCCTTTTGGGTTTCTCCTCAAGACTTTAAAAGGTTTCCACATCTTTATAAAGGTTGTCACAATCCACCCCATCCCCTCCCCTTCAAGGCTCAATGCCCTCGCTGTCACTTGTTTCTTTCTCCAATCGATATGGAACCCCTACCAAATTCACCCCCTTGGGGGCCCAACGTCCCTACTCGCCTCGTGTCTACCCCCTTTCGGATATAAGGGTGTCACAATCCACCCCCTTCAAGGCCCAACATCCTTGTTGACACTTGCTCCTTTCTACAATCGATGTGGGACCCTTATCAAATCCACCCCCCTTTGGGGCCCAGTGTCCTTACCGGCACACCACCTCGTGTCTACCCCCTTCGAAAAACAGCCTCCTCGCTAGCACATCGTCCGATGTCTAGCTTTGATACCATTTGTAACGGCCCAGATCCACTACTAACGTATATTATCTTCTTTGAGCTTTTCTTTTCAAACTTTCCCTCAAGGCTTTAAAACGCGTCTCCTAAACAAAGGTTTCTACACGATTATAAAGGATATTTCGTTCTCCTCCCCAACCAACGTGAGATATTACACATAAACACCCTTTACTTTTAGAAAAAAAAAAAAGGTTCAAAAGAATTACTATCATCAATATAGGAACAAAAAAAAAATGATTTACAAACTTTTTAATGCTACTTTTTAAAAATAAAATACAAAATTTAAAGATATTTTTATTAATTTAACCTAATCTCCTTCATTCCACTCTTAATCCTAAACTAATTTATAAACTCGACCCAAATTTTACCATTTTGCCAGTTATGAATAATCAGGGACCAACTTGAAAATTCTAAACAATTTCAGGGCCTTTCAGCAATAAAAATACTAAGGCACGTGCCACTGTTGACATTCGCACGTGTTGCAAACGATTGAGAGATGAGTCGGTGACAGTCTCAAATTTTGCTTCGTTAATCAAATCAAAGAATTATAAACCCTAGAGTCCAGAGAGCCCATAATTTGTCCCAATCTTCTTCGGAATTGGAAGAACGTCGAATTTTCTCTCGATTGATTCAAGTTTTTTGATCGGAATTCGTCGAATTAGCTGTTCGATCATGCTTCTTTCTCCGGGTCACTCTCCCCGACATATCTCATCCCCCTCGCCGTCGACGGTTTCCGAGAATGCGATCCAAAATCTGCCGAGTTCGTCTTCGATTACGCCTCGGAGCTCTAGGAAACATCCCGAGGTTCTTGATGAGGATGCCTATGTGGAAGCGATAGAGAATATTATAGAGCGGGATTACTTTCCCGACATCTCGAAGCTCAGAGATCGTCTCGATTGGCTTGAAGCGATTAAAAGTGAAGACCCGATTCTAATTCGAGATGCGCAGTTGAAGATCATGGAGCGTCGTGGCCAGAAGGTTAAACGTTTGAACCCTGATGGTAAGTCCCAAACACCTGGTTCCACTTTTATGAGAAGTTTTACCTCTTTTGATGGATTTGAGGGTAAAACCCCGAAAACCCCCCTCTTTGGTAAAAGTGGAATCGCCGGTGAAACGGAGGAGAGTGGTTGTGATGGTAAGGTGGTGGATGAATCGTTGTCGCTTGATGAGTTTTTTAGGCAATATACGAGCGAGGATAATTTTAGCTTTTCCAAAATTCTTGACAAAGATAATAGGAAGAGGAAGGAGAGATACGCATATTTGACGGAGGGTGAAAAGGAAGTTATGAAGTCAATTGAGGATGCAAAAAGAGATAGAATAACTGATGGTTATGGGACTTCCGATCAGCCGCCAAGTACCTTGGAAGGATGGAAGTATACTGCAAAAAATTTGTTGATGTATCATCCATCCGACAGAGGTGAGGCTCCACTGACAGAGGAAGAAATGGCTGTTAGATTGAAGGGCCTTACCAAGGAAATTAACCGAACTAGCACTCGGTTCCATGGTAAATTGATGGACTCAAGGCCAAAAGGCGATGGTACAGTTGAGGTGCTTTATACCCCAGTGGCTGGATCTACTCCATATCCTGTGTCGAATAGAGACGGTGATAGATTGAAGAAGTATGATTTGGAGGATTTAAGGAAGACCCCAAATCCATTTTATGTAGAATCAGGGAAAAAGGCTGAGAATGGCTATGGTTTTGTCCGAACGCCATCCCCTGCACCTGGTGCTGATGAATCTCCATTTATCACGTGGGGTGAGATTGAAGGAACACCCCTGAGACTTGATCCTGAGGAGACGCCTATTGACATTGGTGGTACAGTTGATGGGCCACGTTATAATATTCCCTGTCCACCTGCAAGAGATGAGAAGGCTCATTCACTTTCAAGGGAGGCCGCACGAAAGCTAAGGGAGAAATCAAAGATGTTTCAGAAGCCACCGTTGCCATCACCCGTTAGAGGGGGGAGTGCGAGCCCAAGTGTTCGAAGGACCCTCTCTCCAGCCGCCCAGAAGTTTGTAAGGAATGCAATAGCCAAGTCGACATCTTCATTTGATGAAACCCTTCGTGCCAGTTACAGAGGTGGAAGCCCGAGTTCAGCAACCCCCAAAAGCGGGAGGAGTTTGTCTAGATTTGCAAGAGATGGGAGCTTTGGATCTAGGTCACCTTCTGTTAAAGAAGGTTCTAATCCTGCTTGGTGATGTAATGTTTCCATTCAATATGAATTGGTCCATGTATTCTAATAATTCTATCCTCAAACCCTTTCCTTAAATCACTTATATTTTATAACATAAACTATTCGATAGCCTGAAATCTTATAATGTGGCTGCTCCTATCCATTTCTGCACATACTTTTGTTTCAACTTCCAGCTGATGATTAAATTAACTGAGTTGACCATTTACACTGCACTGAAAGTCGATTTCATCGTTCATGAAATGTATGTTTGAGTATTGTAGCTGAATGCAGGGAATTTTTTGCTGAGGACCGGTGAATGAACATGACGTACGTGTTGTCGCTAGTCAAGCAAACATACTATCAGTTACTGATTCAAGGATTATTAGAATAGTTTTTGGCTGTAGACTCAACTTGTATTACATATTTCTGTGCTTAATGGATGACAGAAAGAATCTTCCCTCTGAAGTTATATAAGGTAGCGTAAAATGTGAAGGAGAGCATTTGATTATTGAAGAAGTTGTACAGTATCTCACTCTGCAGTGAACTTCACAAAAGTAAGTTTTGGGGATTGAGAAAATGCTGCGAGAAAGCAAGCGCCGCCCTCTTTCCAAAGCATTCTCCCGAGCTTTCAGAAGCCGTGCCGTCATGGGTGTGCTGGCGTTTACCATGTAACTTCTTCCTCAATTCACCTCTTTCTCATTATTATTTTAACTCTTTGCTGATTTCTTCTGATTATTTTTTGCAGGTTTTGGTTCTCCGTCAGATCTGATTCACCTACTCAAATGCAAAAATTATAATATATGAATGGATACAAAAGGAAAGCGACGAAGAGAGCCCAAATTGTGGTTCACATAACAGGGAAAGAGGGAGAAAGCCAAGCTTATTCTAATGGCCGAGGCGTTTTAGAAGTTCAAGAATTCAACTTTTCAGCAATCGAGAACGTTTTTGAAGCCTTAAAATATGGGTATGGAGATTACACTCGTGTGCATTTGACTTTTGACTTGGAAGGAATAAAAACTGCACGAATGTATGTGGACAAACTTGTACATTTCCCCTCTTTTCTCTCTTCCATTTTCCTCATTTTGCACTGGTTTATGGATTCTAGGATCTTTAGATGTACTTATTTCTTCGATTCCTGAAATGGGTGCTTACCATTTATGGCCATAAGAAGGCGTAACATTACTCGCTATCGGAATTTGCTTCAGTTCAAAGAATTCCTAACTCGCTCAGCTCTCAGAAACTTTCATAAATTCTGGTTTGAAGGTCTATTAGGAACTATGTTGATGGCAGTTATCAGCCCCAAAGTCAGCTCAGTGGCCTCTAGTCCTTTCACTTCACCGAATATCGGGGTTTTGCTCAAGATCAAGATCATTTCATGGTTGGGTTCACTTTTTTTGAGATTATATTGCTTCGTCTTTGAATTTGCTTTGATTTCTGATAAGTGGATGATGTCTCAGGAGCCAAGAAACTGGTTTGCCTGTTTCTATACGGATTCGAGTTGGTGATAGGACCTTCAACTTGCACAAGGTAAAGATGAATCTGGAGGATTTTTGGGAAATACATCAATGGATAGTACTCTTTTTCTTCATATTCAATGATAGAAAGCAAAGAAGGAAGAAGTGAGAGGATAAATTTTAAGCAAGACTGTTGTTTTTTTTTTTTTTTTTTTTTTTTTTTTTTTTTTTTTTTTTTTTTTTTTTTTTTTTTTTTGCAGCATCCTCTCCTGTCCAAGAGTGGATACTTCCAGAAAAGGCTAAATGAATCGACCGAGTATGAGCTCCCATCGGACTTTCCCGGGGGACCAGAAACCTTTGAATTACTTGCACTGTTCATCTATGGCTCCTCTACTCTTGTTGATCCTTTTAATGTAGCAGCCCTCCGATGTGCTGCAGAGTTTCTTGAAATGACAGATGATTACTATTCCGGTAACCTTTGCGAGCGATTCGATATCTATTTAAACCAAGTGGTCTTCCAAAGCTGGGATGATACACTAATCGTACTCCAAAAGTGCCAACAATTGCTTCCCTGGTCCGAGGAGCTGTTAATTGTAAGCCGCTGCATCGAATCTCTTGCCTTCATGGCTTGCATGGAGATTCTAGACCCCGAGAAAAGGCGAGACCAACCAATCATTACAATGGATGCATTGGCCAGTCAGGTTTGGAGCTGTGAAATAGTGAAAGAAATCTTGTGCCAAGATCTTTGGATCAAGGACCTCATTGCTCTACCATTTGAATTCTTCCAAAGAGTCGTGGGATCCTTGAGAAGACAAGGTATGAAAGAAAAATACGTGAGCCCGATCATCGTTTTCTATGCTAACAAATGGATTCTTTCGCAAAAAACGCGCCAGTTCTGGGAAAGTACTGATGAGAAAGTTGTAGATGATGAAGCAAATGAGAAGGTTATATTTATCTTGCAAGGTCTTCTTGATCTTCTCCCTATGGGACAGAGGACCAGTAGAGTGGTTCCTGTAGGCTTTTACTTTGCATTACTTTCAAAATCACTTGAAATTGGTCTCAAAAGTAACAGCCTGCAGAAACTACAAGACCAGATTGCATCAGTATTACACTTTGCCCAAGTCGAAGACTTCCTCCTACCGAAAACCGGGGCGGACTCGGTTTCTTCCAGCATCGAGTTAGCTACAATGGAGAAGATATTAGAGTCGTTTGTATCTTCTAACATGAAGATGAATCATAACCATTCAGGAAGCAACTCACTCGTGGCGGAGTTGTGGGATGAGTATCTAACCTTCATAGCTCCCGATCCGAAACTCGGAAAAAAACGATTTGTGGAACTTATCGAAAAAGTGCCTGCTTCGTGGCGAGAGAATCACAACCACCTTTATTGGGCAGTAAACACATTCCTGCAGGTAAATCTTATCTGTTTTCTTCTTCATGAAATGCTTTTTGAAATGTGGTTGAGATCCATTAGCTCATCTATTTTGTTTTGCAGGCACAGTCACAACTGTCCCAAGAGGAAAAATGGGCAATCTGTAAGTACCTCAACTGCCAGAAGCTATCACAAGCGGCGTGCATTGAAGCTGTTCAAAACGAGTTGATGCCGCTCCGTCTGATAGTTCAAGCGCTTTTCGTTCAGCAATTGAATACTCAACAGGCGTTCAAAGAGTGTTCGAGTTCATTTAGATTTGCACCTTATGGAGAATTCTCAGGGAGTCTTTCAAGCTCTAGATTTCTGAACTCGAACAGCCAGAATCTACGAGACAGTCCTTATACAGATGGAGCTGATCCAAGCCGAAAAACGTTAAGCTTCTTGCTACAGAAGGACCATGTGATGCAGGCACATGAATCCTCGAGAAAGGAGTACGAGTCGACAAGTTTCCGAATCCAGAATCTCGAACAGGAATTGGTTTCCTTGAAGAAGAGTGTCCAGTGGCAGACAATATCAAAGAAAACAGATACAATGTCGAGCAGTAAAGCAGAAGGAAGAACAAAACCAGCTGATGTGGAAAGTAGATACTCTAGCAAGAAAAGGAACACACATGAACAAGTGACAGGGTGCATTGGTTCCGTTAACTTTTCTGCTCAAAGAAACTATGCAAGTCGTCTGTTTAAGATCTTCAGCGGAATTCGTCTATTTGGGGGTCAGAAACAGAAAAGAAAATCGGGGTTTCCCGTCCTTTGGCGTAGGTCGATTTATCAGATCAACCATCGACTCGACTTGTAAATGAGCAAACAGGTTCGTAGAAACCAGTTATGGAGACTATAACCAGTTATGGAGACTATAACTTCGTGTAAACTCTAGTATGTTTAAGTACAGAAAGTATCAGTGATAGTAGTAATCATTCAAAGTACTCAGTTCAAACATCTATACTTCAACTGTTCACCACATAAGGTCACCAATCTACTCTCTATATTACTGCTCTATGGATATGCCGTTGCCATAATCGTGCCAATCGAGACACAGAGACTTGTCGTTCTGCAAACCATGATGCACGAGAAGCTCTAGAAAAGGTCGAAACCAGAAGAAGCTTGAAAAGTAGCTAAAAACAACCTTTTTTATGTCGACATAGATAAGTTATTATGCGATGTTTGTTACATGAGAAGTGTTTTGGACTTGCTTGTCTAGGTCCATGTTGCTTATGGCCGCGAGTACTCAAACCACCCTCAATCACTCTTTTCATTTCTATGTTTATTCTCTCGACTAAGCATGTATACTCTCTTATCCATATATTTTAATGTAATTGGCATTCACCATGAGTGCTTTGAAAATGTTCTCTCATTTTCTCACAATTTTCTTTTTTGAAATGACTATCTCAAAATTATTTGCGATTTTTGTTCACTAGGTGAGAATAATCATCGTTTGACCCACCAAGTTCTTTTACAACATATAATAATACAGTTACCAACAAAGCAACAAGTCAAGATGGCCGAGTTGGTCTAAGGCGCCAGTTTCAGGTACTGGTCCGAAAGGGCATGGGTTCGAATCCCATTCTTGACAACTTTTTACCAACTTTTTTTTGTTCTCCAATTTTCATTGTTTTTTTTTTTTTTTTTTCTTTACCTAGACAAACTATTAGAAAAATTCATTTATTAAATATTATTTTGTGTCCTAATATTAAAATATGATGTACTTATCTTAACTAAAATACCTGTCTACCATTAGTATATTAATAGACATATGTGAAATTCGATTTGTTTATTGATACCATGGAAAACGATGTTCCACAAATACAATCATGAATGATAAGCAAAGAAGCACTCTATCTTTACAAAAATAAGTATAAAGAAAAGCAAACACTAACACTCTCACGTATGAATCAAAAGAAAAACTATGGAATTTGAGAAGAACAAACAGAAAACAGGGGACCTAATTATACTCTGTTTTCTACTTTAGCAGTATGGGCAGAGATGTTGTGTGGGAACTTGTTGGAGTTGGATCTCCTTCTCTTGATCACAATGAACCATGTCACAGCTTCCAGCACCAACGCCACAGCGCCCAACAAGATGATCACTCCGCTGTAAGCCCGCCTCCATTTATTGTCGGGGCTCAAGATTTTGAAGCCTTCGAACACATTGATGATGCTCATGATGATCACACTGTATCCCATGGAGTGATGGTAAATGTTCCAGTAGATTCTGTACTTATGATCCTTCTTCGGCCTCAAAAGCAGAGCGAATACCTGAACGCTTCCCAACACGAACAGAGCAATCCCAATGTTACGATGGGTGTTGTACTGAACTGCTGCCGACTCGCCGCCGAGTTTGATTCCGGTGGCCCACCCGGCAACTCCCACGGCGTAGGCGGAGGTCTGGCAGGCCACGTGAAGGTAAAACCAGGCTGGATCTGCCGCCTTGAACACCTTCAAATACCTTGCGAAAATGGCTCCCATTGGCATCAACGTCCCCCAGCTGACCGCATTCAGCACTCCGTGAATCTGAGAATCCAAATCCCAACTGGGAGTTAGAGTTTATCGAAATCCCCAAAAGGGTTTTGCAAATGGAAAGATTAAAACAGACCCGTATCACTAAAACCCCACAATTCATTCAAATTCAAGCCCACTTACGTTTCTCCTCCTGAGAACAGAATCCACCGCCGCCGTGGTCGACCCAGTAAGCAAATCCAGAGTAGCAAGGGACCTTCTATTATCGCCGGTGAAGGCGTGGGGGAGAGGAGAACCCTGCGCCATGGGACCTTCCTGCCAGACCTGATTGACGGTGGTCATGCCGGGGGGAAGAGAAATGGTTGCAAAAATGGTCATTTCGTCGTCGAGATAGGTGGCAGAGAGTTGAGGAACCTCAAAGCTCAAGCGGGTCTGTTGCATAGTCGGAGAAGGGAGGTCGATGCTGGAAGTGTAAACATGAGGGAGGGCAGAGGAGTTCCTGTAGGCTATAAGAGCTTGAGAGCCGAACATGGCGAGGGCATTCGGGTTAATGGCCCAAGCAATCCATTGATTGGGAGAGGTGGAAGGGCGTCGGAAGGCCATCCTCAAGGTGGCGTTGGATGGATGAAAGGTCCAATGGAGGAAAGAGTTGAGGACAGGATGATCCACACAGGCCGCGAAGACTTCATTGTTGGCGAAATTATGGTTTGTGCAAGTCTGCCCAGCGGCAGAGAGGCAGAGAGAGAGGAGAAGCAGAGCATTGAGGAAGGTCTGGAGTTTGGGTTCCATGGCGGATTAGAGTGATGGAGAATGAGACAGAGAGGAGGAGATGAGTGAATTTATAGAGGAAAAGGGGAAGAAACGCAGACTCCACGCGTAGGGTTTAATCTTCCACTTTCTTTCAACACTTTTCAAACTTGCTCACCCCGTTTCCTCCNGTTTATTGATACCATGGAAAACGATGTTCCACAAATACAATCATGAATGATAAGCAAAGAAGCACTCTATCTTTACAAAAATAAGTATAAAGAAAAGCAAACACTAACACTCTCACGTATGAATCAAAAGAAAAACTATGGAATTTGAGAAGAACAAACAGAAAACAGGGGACCTAATTATACTCTGTTTTCTACTTTAGCAGTATGGGCAGAGATGTTGTGTGGGAACTTGTTGGAGTTGGATCTCCTTCTCTTGATCACAATGAACCATGTCACAGCTTCCAGCACCAACGCCACAGCGCCCAACAAGATGATCACTCCGCTGTAAGCCCGCCTCCATTTATTGTCGGGGCTCAAGATTTTGAAGCCTTCGAACACATTGATGATGCTCATGATGATCACACTGTATCCCATGGAGTGATGGTAAATGTTCCAGTAGATTCTGTACTTATGATCCTTCTTCGGCCTCAAAAGCAGAGCGAATACCTGAACGCTTCCCAACACGAACAGAGCAATCCCAATGTTACGATGGGTGTTGTACTGAACTGCTGCCGACTCGCCGCCGAGTTTGATTCCGGTGGCCCACCCGGCAACTCCCACGGCGTAGGCGGAGGTCTGGCAGGCCACGTGAAGGTAAAACCAGGCTGGATCTGCCGCCTTGAACACCTTCAAATACCTTGCGAAAATGGCTCCCATTGGCATCAACGTCCCCCAGCTGACCGCATTCAGCACTCCGTGAATCTGAGAATCCAAATCCCAACTGGGAGTTAGAGTTTATCGAAATCCCCAAAAGGGTTTTGCAAATGGAAAGATTAAAACAGACCCGTATCACTAAAACCCCACAATTCATTCAAATTCAAGCCCACTTACGTTTCTCCTCCTGAGAACAGAATCCACCGCCGCCGTGGTCGACCCAGTAAGCAAATCCAGAGTAGCAAGGGACCTTCTATTATCGCCGGTGAAGGCGTGGGGGAGAGGAGAACCCTGCGCCATGGGACCTTCCTGCCAGACCTGATTGACGGTGGTCATGCCGGGGGGAAGAGAAATGGTTGCAAAAATGGTCATTTCGTCGTCGAGATAGGTGGCAGAGAGTTGAGGAACCTCAAAGCTCAAGCGGGTCTGTTGCATAGTCGGAGAAGGGAGGTCGATGCTGGAAGTGTAAACATGAGGGAGGGCAGAGGAGTTCCTGTAGGCTATAAGAGCTTGAGAGCCGAACATGGCGAGGGCATTCGGGTTAATGGCCCAAGCAATCCATTGATTGGGAGAGGTGGAAGGGCGTCGGAAGGCCATCCTCAAGGTGGCGTTGGATGGATGAAAGGTCCAATGGAGGAAAGAGTTGAGGACAGGATGATCCACACAGGCCGCGAAGACTTCATTGTTGGCGAAATTATGGTTTGTGCAAGTCTGCCCAGCGGCAGAGAGGCAGAGAGAGAGGAGAAGCAGAGCATTGAGGAAGGTCTGGAGTTTGGGTTCCATGGCGGATTAGAGTGATGGAGAATGAGACAGAGAGGAGGAGATGAGTGAATTTATAGAGGAAAAGGGGAAGAAACGCAGACTCCACGCGTAGGGTTTAATCTTCCACTTTCTTTCAACACTTTTCAAACTTGCTCACCCCGTTTCCTCCCGTTCTCCCCACTTTCAATCATTTTTTAATTAATTTTATTTAGTCAAATAAGGTTATTAAGTAAAGAAAGGAGTGAAGTGCAGAAGTTAAAGAATCAGAATAATCAGAAAAGTAATTAATTAATTAAAAAGATTATATTAAAATTAATAATCATCACATTCCCACTAACCCCATTATTTTATGGAAAATAAGGAGCGTGTAAAACGGGGTTTTTAGTCATTAGCTTATGGAAAAAGCCAATAATATTCCAAACCCTGTGAAATTACAAGTTGTTACTTAAAAATACAAAATTAGTGGGAAAGGATTAATTAATGTAAACCCTAATTTAGTGTTTAATCCACTCACCGTCATCCTAGTTTCGGACTTACTTTTGTATGACCGGATAAAGATAACAGTAGTTACTATCTAAATTAGTCTCGAGGGATAGAGGAGATTGAGTTGGCTAAAAGATTTTGTTCTTGTCTCTCTTGCATCAGGTTGACCCACCTCCCTACATAGTGATTCTATCGATCATGTACGTTGTGGAAAATAAGGGTGGTTAATATGGTCTAATAACTCGACCAATCTAGGCTATCCAACCCGAGGGTTGGATTAAGGTTCAGTCTGTAGGTTGACATTTTTTTTTATTGGATTTATCAAAAAATAGGATTACAACTCAATCCACACCTATCTAAAAATGTGCAAATAAATGGAAAAAATGATATTAATTAATTAATTAACATATTTTGTGAAATTAGTTTTTATGATATCATATAATGTATAATTTTTTTTTTCGAGGATATAACAAAAGAATTATATATTTACCAAAGTTCTTGTTTTTATAGTAAATAACATTTTTAAATTTATAAAATAAAATCTAACAACGGTAAGTAAAGCAATAATTTAATAATTAAAATTTTATATTTCTATTACCATAAAATTATATTTATATTAATATATTAATTTATTTTTTGAAATAAAAAAAGGAATATGTAGAAATCAACGGAGACTTTTGCAGACGGCCGCCTTCATTTTTTGATACGGTTTGGAAAATTCCTTGAAACCAAACACCGATTTTCCCGGAAATTATTTTTAAATCTTCAAAATTGACTGCTTTTTGTTCCCATGTTTAATTATATATATATATATATATATATATACTAATTTAATAGAAATATTTAATAGTATTTCTAGACTAAAAATAAATACTCTTAATTAAATAATAATGATAGGTAAGTTATGAACCCAAAAAAACATGATAGAGAAAATGCAGAGAGAATATTGATTTAAGATAAATTTTGTACAAATATGGTTCAACTACTATATATAATCTTCTGCTGTATATAACTATCTACCATATAGCTACGGTATATTACCTCAATTAGACATCCCATAACACTATTTGATGAACGGTGTAAAATGAGCTTAGTTCATGTTGGACTCAACTAGCTACGGTGAAATATGTCCCTGCTTGGATAAGCCAGCCGGTTGAGCCTGTGAAAAGCTTGGAAAAGAAGATGGGGGAGCCCTTATCTAATGATATCCTACGAGTAAGCCGTTAAGTGAAGAGAATGCTATGAGTTCACAAGAGTCATTCAAAGTATCTACCATATAGGTGTACCCATATAGTTTTTTATCTACTATATATAACTTTACCATTATCTACTATATAGCTTTAGTTTTTACTTGACAATTTACTTTAATAGTAAACTTTATAGTTTTACTATGTATAAGCATTGACTAAACTATAAATAAGCTCCATAACCTAACACGATTAGGTGACATCAAGCTCAGTTTTAAAACGCATCGGTTAGGGAAAGAATTTACACTTTAACATGAAATGTTTTATTCTTCTCTCCAATTGACGTGAGATTTTAAAATCGAGCACAACTAATTTAATCTGACTCTAATAACAAAAATAGAACGAGCTATTGAATAATTTTTTTTAAGATTTTATTAATAAAATTAGAAACCCCTAAAAAAAAAAAAAAATCTACAAATATAATAACCTCACTACCAATCTCTAAAAATAGTCCAAAAGAAACAAAAAAAACACTTAAAAATGTAAATCATCAATAATCAAACCCCGTTTTGTCCATTATTGTTATTTCGAAACTTATCATCAGAGCTGGTTCTCTTTCTCTTGATCCCAATGATCCATGTGATCACTTCAAGAACGACGGCGACGGCGCCCAGGAATATGATGATTCCGGTGTAAGCCCGTTTCCATTTCTCATCGGGCCTCAAGATATCTAATCCTTTGAAGACGTTAATGATACTCAGAACAATCACACTGTATCCGACCGAGTGATGGTATGCGTTCCAGTAGATTCTGTATTTGTGATCCTTCTTCGGCCTCAAAAGCAGAGCGAAAACCTAAAATGAATCAAACCCAGATCGAAATTAGTGCGGATTTCGAGAAATTTTCATTTGGGTTTCTGGATTTTTTATGTTTTTTAGGTACCTGAAGAGTTCCGAACACGAACAGAGTGATTCCGATGTTGCGGTGGGTGTCGTATTGAACGGCGGTGGAATCTCTGCCGAGTTTTATGCCGGTAGCCCAACCGGCGACACCGACAGCGTAGGCGGAGGATTGACAAGCGACGTGAAGGTAAAACCAGGCCGGATCTGCACCTTTGAAAGCCCTCAAATATCTAGCGAAAATGGCGCCGATCGGCATCAATGTCCCCCAACTAACAGCGTTCAAAACCCCATGAATCTGAAAAATCAAACCGATTTCACAAAAGGGTTTCACAAATCGAGAGAATCAAACAAACCCAGATCGGAAAACTTACGTTTCTCTTCTTTAAAACCGTATCCTCCGCCGCCGTGGAGGATCCAGTAAGCAAATCGAGTTTAGATCTGGATGCTCTGTTTTCTTCGGCGAGCGAATGGGAAGATGGAGAGCCTCCGATCATGGGACCGACCTGCCAGACTTGATTAATGGTCTTCATGTTGGAGGGGAGCCGAATCGTTGCGAAAATGGTGAGCTCGTTGTTCACATAAGTCGCTGAAAGATCAGGAACCGCGAATCTCAGGGTGCTCTGTTGCAGTGTCGGACCAGGGGGATCGACGCTGGAAGTGTAAACATGAGGGAGAGCAGAGGAATTCCGGTAAGCGATGAGAGCTTGAGATCCAAACATGGCGAGGCCCTGTGGGTTAATGGCCCATGAAATCCATTGATTGGGAGAGGTGGAAGGGCGCCGGAAGGCCATTCTCAAGGTGGTGTTGGATGGATTGTAGGTCCAATGGAGGAAGGTGTTGAGCACTGGATGATCCACACAGGCTGCGAACACTTGATTGGTTGCAAACCCATTGTAGCTTCTGCAAATCTGAGCGGACGCCGGCCGGCAGAAACAGAGGAGGAGGATAAGAACAGAGGAGAAGAAGGTGTGGAGTTTCATTTCCATGGCTGAACTCTGTTTCAGTTTTTGCTGTCGATTCAGGGAGGAAGAAGAAGAAGCAAGTGAGTATTTATTGCGATTAATTCGAATGAAAATTCAGTAAATTTGTAAATTTTATTTGGTTTGTGAAACACTCTGTTTCTCCTTGGTGATCTAAGAGAAGAGAGAGGAGGCAAAGCCCTTGAAACGGTTGACTAATTCCAACGGCCTCCATGGTTATAATGCTTACCGACCCACATAAATTCATGCATTAATTATTATTGGGTATGAATTATATTTTATAATATTTTTTCCAAAATTACTTTTTGACTTTTTTTTTTTTTTTTTTTATAATTATCCAAACTCTCGAGTATTGCTGATGCTTTATGATGACATCCCGAGACACGAGATATCATTTATCTGAAGGGAACTAACTCTTCATTCATAGTAAAAGCATTAGTAACCGTTTTGATTTTATTAACAATTAAAAGAAAGCAATAAATACGAGAGATAACTCTACTTTTATAGAAACTATAGTTTGACATAGTATTCCAAGAAAGTAGAAGTTTTTGTAATGAGTTATGTCCATTGATATAATCATTATCAACAAATCAATCGAGTTATTCAAAAGTACACTTGGGTCAAAAGTATGTTTTACCCCTTTAGTTACATCTTTCACCTTAACTACTATTAAAGAGTATGACTATGTCGTACTAGATGCAGGAAAATTTTAGGGCCGTTGAATGTAGAACTCGTATTTTGAATCCTAGATTTGGGTCGTTACACAACTCATAATCAGGACATTATGAACGTCCATCTGATGGGAACGTTCGCTAAGTCGAGGGATCCCAAGAAGAAAAGTAGGGATTTTTATAAATTTCATTGAAATAAAAAATATTTATATATTCTTGTGTTTGTTTGATTTATAAAAAAGAATTTTAAATAAAAATTTGCATTTTGTGCAAATTTGACAATGGAAACGTGTCGTTCGTTCCGTTTAACCCGTTTTGCTCTCGAAACCTCACTAGACGGCGCCGTTTTCATCTGTGTTCACATACATTTTCCATAATATTTATTTCATTTATAGACATGAAAAATACTCATTTTAAAAATTTATTTCTTTGTTAAAAATTACATGATGCTCACAATATATACCCATTTTTAGTCTATAGTTTCCTAATCAAAATTATTTAATCCTTTAATTATAGTCACGAGTAACCAAATCATCACTCGAATAAAATGTAAATTATGGGTATACACGGGTTGGGTTGAATAAAATTTTTGGACCTGAATAACCCAGTTCACAACTAAACCCAACCCTAAATTTTCGGGTTGGAATGGGTCGAGCGGTCGGATTATTCATTTTTTATTATTTAAAAAATATATATTCATCAATTTAGATTAGGGTTTTTTGTGGCTAATATTTAAGATAAAATGGTGTGGTTGGAATTAGAGATGAACAAAAGCATCAATATAAATGAAAGAAAAGCAACACTTTTGACTAATATATATGTTTTATAAATGTTTTTATTTATGCATTTTAAGAAATATATCGATTTATGTAACAATTCAACCCTACAGATTTAACACCAAAAATCTAATTTATCTAAATTAATTAAAAAGAATAATAAAAAATACTTTAAAATATTTATTTATTTCTTTTTAAATATTTAATATATTGGGAAAAATGGAATAAATAATTATAAAATAATTATAAAATTAAATAAATATATAAATATATAATTGCATGGTAAAAAAAAAAAAAAAAAATCTGGTTGAATTCAACTCAATCAATCTAGTTCAGAGGAATTATGGACCGATTTATCTGTATAATTATCTGAGTTATTAAGTTTTTAAGTTTTTTTAACACCTCTACAAATAATACCGTTTTAAAAAAATAGTAAAACAATGTAGCCGACCAATTCAAACATAGCTCAGTGAATAAGACATACGGTCGACCTATCAAAATAAAATTGATTTATTTATTATGGGTGTGATCTTGTTTGGAAAATAATAAATTATTTGTGGTTGAAATGTTTTATAATACTTGTCCATTATTTTATACCTCAACTACCCCTCTTTAATGTGCCTTCTATCTAACCCAATTTAAATAATGACGTGAGCTCAAATAATTGTTTAAATTTGGGGCAAACCCATAAAGTAAATTAAAAAAAATTAGAAATGAGTTCTGAGTTAGGACCGTAATCTACCTCAAATTTAATATTTTACGAGTCATTTTGACAATCAAATAAAGTAAAAGCAAAGAAGTTGTCTCGTTAGAATAGTTAAAATGCATAGAAATGAGATTAATACTCGTGAATATCTTAGAAGTTATCTTAACAACCGAATGCAATAAAGTAAATAAATTGTCATGTGAGAATTCTCGAAATGCGAACAAGTTGACTTAGTACTCGTGAATATCAAATTATTCAACGTAGAAATTTAAACCCATTTGAAAATACATACACGTACCTACACCAATACATACATAAAAGTATAAGTACGTTCGTGTCTATAGTGTAACATCAATACAATAGAATAAAGTTGTCCCCTGAAAATAGTCGAAATGCGAACAAGTTGAGCTAATACTCGTGAATATCAAATCATTCAACGTAGAAGTTTAAACACATTTGAACATGCATGCACGTATTGATACCCATACGTATATAAAAATATAAGTCGGTTCAAAGATTGATACATACATGGGGGTGGAAAATGAGAGGAAAGTGGCGTAATCAGCTTCCCACAGCCTTTTTGGACCTCAAAATTCCATATCCAAACAATAATTTCTTGGAAAATTGTATTCAAACCGATCAAATGCTTACAAATTTTGAGGTTTTTCAGAGCAGCTACCACCAAGAACTCATAATATCTTCTGATCAAGTTGCCTAATTTTGTTGACTTCTTCCCCGTTGACTCGTAGTTACCATAAAATAATCAAGTGTTCTTCAGTTTTTTTTTCTCTCTCTTAAGACCTTTTCATCACCAAACAAATGGGTTATTTTTCTCACGCTTAAGAGATTGGATATTAAGAAATTGATATCAAACACGTCCAGATCATTACTCTTTTCGTTGTTCTGTAGAAATTACCGACCAAGAAGATTAAAAGAGAGTGAAAGGTAGAGGAAGAAGTCGAAGATTATAATATAGAGACAGTAAAATTGTAAATTAATTTTTTTTAATCGGTTAATAATTTATTAAACATAAAATTTAAAATTTAGAGACTAATATAATTTTCTATATCATTTTAAAAAAATTAATTTATTGTATTTATAATTTTTATTTATTTACTATTTTACTGTGGTTTAAAATTTGAGGGAAGAGGTCGATAAATAATTATTTAGATTTTTAAAAAAATTTTTATTGTGATATATTATATTAAAGTTTAATTATAGATTATATATTTAAATATATTAAATTCACCAAATGTCGTCGCTTTGGCCGAGTGGTTAAGGCGTGTGCCTGCTAAGTACATGGGGTTTCCCCGCGAGAGTTCGAATCTCTCAGGCGACGATTTTTTTATTTTTATTTTATTTTATGACTAAATAAAATTAATTAAAAAATGATTGAAAGTGTGGAGAATTGGAGGAAACGGGGTGAGCAAGTTTGAAAAGTGTTGAAAGAAAGTGGAAGATTAAACCCTACGCGTGGAGTCTGCGTTTCTTCCCCTTTTCCTCTATAAATTCACTCATCTCCTCCTCTCTGTCTCATTCTCCATCTCTCTAATCCGCCATGGAACCCAAACTCCAGACCTTCCTCAATGCTCTGCTTCTCCTCTCTCTCTGCCTCTCTGCCGCTGGGCAGACTTGCACAAACCATAATTTCGCCAACAATGAAGTCTTTGCGGCCTGTGTGGATCATCCTGTCCTCAACTCTTTCCTCCATTGGACCTTTCATCCATCCAACGCCACCTTGAGGATGGCCTTCCGACGCCCTTCCACCTCTCCCAATCAATGGATTGCTTGGGCCATTAACCCAAATGCCCTCGCCATGTTCGGCTCTCAAGCTCTTATAGCCTACAGGAACTCCTCTGCCCTCCCTCATGTTTACACTTCCAGCATCGACCTCCCTTCTCCGACTATGCAACAGACCCGCTTGAGCTTTGAGGTTCCTCAACTCTCTGCCACCTATCTCGACGACGAAATGACCATTTTTGCAACCATTTCTCTTCCCCCCGGCATGACCACCGTCAATCAGGTCTGGCAGGAAGGTCCCATGGCGCAGGGTTCTCCTCTCCCCCACGCCTTCACCGGCGATAATAGAAGGTCCCTTGCTACTCTGGATTTGCTTACTGGGTCGACCACGGCGGCGGTGGATTCTGTTCTCAGGAGGAGAAACGTAAGTGGGCTTGAATTTGAATGAATTGTGGGGTTTTAGTGATACGGGTCTGTTTTAATCTTTCCATTTGCAAAACCCTTTTGGGGATTTCGATAAACTCTAACTCCCAGTTGGGATTTGGATTCTCAGATTCACGGAGTGCTGAATGCGGTCAGCTGGGGGACGTTGATGCCAATGGGAGCCATTTTCGCAAGGTATTTGAAGGTGTTCAAGGCGGCAGATCCAGCCTGGTTTTACCTTCACGTGGCCTGCCAGACCTCCGCCTACGCCGTGGGAGTTGCCGGGTGGGCCACCGGAATCAAACTCGGCGGCGAGTCGGCAGCAGTTCAGTACAACACCCATCGTAACATTGGGATTGCTCTGTTCGTGTTGGGAAGCGTTCAGGTATTCGCTCTGCTTTTGAGGCCGAAGAAGGATCATAAGTACAGAATCTACTGGAACATTTACCATCACTCCATGGGATACAGTGTGATCATCATGAGCATCATCAATGTGTTCGAAGGCTTCAAAATCTTGAGCCCCGACAATAAATGGAGGCGGGCTTACAGCGGAGTGATCATCTTGTTGGGCGCTGTGGCGTTGGTGCTGGAAGCTGTGACATGGTTCATTGTGATCAAGAGAAGGAGATCCAACTCCAACAAGTTCCCACACAACATCTCTGCCCATACTGCTAAAGTAGAAAACAGAGTATAATTAGGTCCCCTGTTTTCTGTTTGTTCTTCTCAAATTCCATAGTTTTTCTTTTGATTCATACGTGAGAGTGTTAGTGTTTGCTTTTCTTTATACTTATTTTTGTAAAGATAGAGTGCTTCTTTGCTTATCATTCATGATTGTATTTGTGGAACATCGTTTTCCATGGTATCAATAAACGAATCTCTTCGCTTCAAAGAGAGAATTTGTCACGTCATAAACTTATCTCTATCTCGTTCATGTAAGGTATAATTTTATGTTTCGATGAACGTGTCTTGCTCTAAAAAAATTAGAAAGATCGAGACGGCAAACATAATCATGTCATACTGTACACTCATTCCCACATATTTGAAGACAATTTTGAGGGCAAGATGAGTTTCTTAAGGCTGGAACAAGTAACGAGGCTAACCCGGATTAGACTCTACTTAGTTGGGTGATTAGACTCTACTTAGTTGGGGATAGAGTTGAAAGTTTGGTATGGCCAAAGTCGACCCTATGATCCTACTCATGTCACGTGAAAGTAAAATTTAAATACTTGAAATAAAAATGAGCCAACCTACGATCATACTCTAGTTCAACGAAGCAAAGAAAATAGGTCAATTCTCATTTAGTTTCGTGTTAAATTCATCATCATCATCAAAGTCTCTAGGCAAAGATTTTGACTGCTACAATACTAGATCGAGCCATACCATGGGATCATAGCCATGCAAATGATTATAACGTTTACATAAATGATGTTCAGACGAGATCTAATAGAATGCAACGGTCTACTCCAAGATTCGGTTGAGATCGAATAAATGTTCCTTCACCAATTCTTTGTATCAGAATTGTGTCTAATATTTTTGCTCATCCTTGAACACGCAAGATTTTTTCTTTTTTACAGATGGTGCCAACTGTTGTTGCAAAAAAACAAAAAAAAACTCCATTGATAACTCATAGATAGGAAAATAAGAGGAACACAATGGAAGCAATCTATAACTGATTCACAAAATGTGTATCTATACAAAGAATGGCTATATCAAATGAAGGAATTTACATTATACTTTGGTGATATATGATGATTCTCGATGAATTTACATTGATAAATCTCCATGTTTTTCATATTAATAGGCAGAAAAACAATGACTTGTATGTTTACCTCGAACTGTTTTAAGGTGCAATAACAAAGAGAGAGCAAAAAGAACCAACATCCAAAGCTGAAATCAGCATTGGATCTCGTCTTTCTCTATCTCGGAAGACCAGAGATCGCCTTTCTCGAGCATGGAGATTTCTCTCATAACTTGAGCTTTATCTTCTTCGAACCCTTCATCGTCTAGAACCAAAAAGTGATCAATCATTCATGAACATACGACATTGATGAAATGATACCAGAAGCACAAGTTTAACTTTTTTTTTAATACCTTTATCTAGTCTAAGTTCGTCGAGAAGTCGAAGAAGTTTCGTTCTATTGGCAACGAGTACACCTGTGATCTCTAGAGGCTTGTTTTTATTTGCAACAAATAGCTAATATACAGCAACAACGAAAAGAAAAAAACTTTATTAAAGATATGAAAAGGAACTTAGTAGTGCAAATCATTCAATGATCTTCAATAGTACCTTGAACACATGGAAGGCGTCTCTTTGTATCATCTTGTTTGGATCCTGTAAGTATAATATGTGGGGTGAGAAAAGAAAGGAATATGAGATCTTACCTCGATTGAAGAGGAGAATGAAACGAAACGAAGCATTCTTTACAAGGGTATGGAAATCTCTTCTTAGCAGCCGTGTTTTAAAAATCTTGAGGGGAAACACAAAAAGAAAAGCCTAAAGAGGATAATATCTGCTAAGTAGGCTTGGCCGTGTTACAAATTATGAGATCCCACATTGATTGACGAGTGCCAGTGAAGACGCTGGCTCCAAAGGGGGATTGTGAGATCCCACATTGGTTGGAGAGGGGAATAAAACATTCTTTATAAGGGTGTGAAAACCTCTCCCTACCATACGCGTTTCAAAGGGAAAGCCGAAAGAGGTTAATATCTGCTAACGGTGGATTTGAGCCGTTATAGGAAGGGTGTAAACCATACAAAATGCACGTTTTCATTTAATAGTGAGAGAGTTTACCCTGAGAAGGTTCATCAAGATCCTCATGTTATCCAAGGAGCTCACGTATCGAACCATCACAACAGCATTAGAGTTATCAAGTAGTAGATCGCCCAGCAACTGAAATAGTGTACACAACATTGATATCATGAAATGGCAGAAAATGCTTCTTGATATCACTTCATGGAAATACATAATCTTTGAGATGACAAAACTCAAAACATATTAAGTCGAGGTATCATACTCGATAGGTTCATTGGTTGTAACAGAGAGAATCTAAACATGTAAACTATAACAGGGCCATTAGCATGCTTGTCATAGGCATTTATTCACTCTTTACCTTCACGGCGTGTCGTTTCGTGATGTAATTCGACGATTCCAGCAACTGTGTATTGTACTCTTCAAAGAACTAAAAGATTAGAAACAATTGTAAAACAACTTCAATGAACTTGTTCATCCAAGTGAAACCAACAATTAACGAAATTTCGACAAAGACAATCTAATTAAAATAACTTATCTAATGCTTACCCACTCATAATTTGTAGTAAGAAATCCAGTAACAGTAGATTTATGCCTTGTCAAAAGTTTCTGCATAGAAAAAGTTCAGGATGTTTCAGTTGACAGGCAGGATTCTCTCAATATGCCAAACCACAGTACCCACTAGTCATGACGTAAATGAAGGTTCATTTGGTCTTTTTAGTTCAACAATATATGAGATGAGGAGACTCGAATCTTAACATGGTTGAGGTTGATAGGTTAATTTTGGTTGTTACCTGTGAGATCCCACATGATTGGAAAGGGGAACGAAATATTATTTAAAAGGTGTGGAAACCTCTCCCTAGCATACGCGTTTTAAAAACCTTGAGGGGAAGCTCGGAAGGAAAAACCCAAAGAGGACAATATCTGCTAGCGGTGGGCTTAGGCCGCTACAAATGATATTAGAGCTAGACACCAGACGGTGTGCCAGCAAGGACGTTGGGTCCTAAAGGGGGTGGATTGTAAGATCCTACATCGGTTGGAGAGGGGAACAAAACATTCTTTATAAGGGTGTGAAAACCTCTCCCTAGCTGACGCGTTTTAAAAACTATAAGGGAAAGCTCAAAGAGGACAATATGTGTTAGCGGTGGGCTTGGGCCGTTACGAGCAATTAGTACATGTATACAACCACAATAAACATAAGATATGCTAAAAAGAGAGGAGAGAAGAAATTCATTCTTAACTCTAAAAGTTGCAGAAGCATCTGATGCTACGTAAAATATTGGATTCTGGACGTAATAAAAAAACTTCTTTATATGCTCGGATTCCAGGATGTACCTGAACCGAAACGATTAGGGATAAGGAAAAAGAAAAAGAAGAGGAAACTACATCAGGTTTCAAACATCTGCACAAAGATGTCAAAAATGATACTACTCTTTCAGCAATATGTTTGCAAGAAACGAATTAACTGGTTCATACTTAGCAACACACTGATGTCGTATGCATTCGCTTGCAATCGCACCGTAAGTTAAAGCAATGTCGCTATCTTCGTACCTAAGTTGAGCCAATCATTAACCATCAATGAATGTTGTCATGTAATGTTAACAATTTGATGGTTCACAATCTTAAAACACTACCCAGTTCTTACCCTGGTATCAGAATGTCCATAATATCCATGTTGTTCTCCAAGTAGTCAGAGGCGATCATCCGCGACTTAACCTGCTGTCGTTGCAGATTGGCTAGAACATGAGTTGCACATTGGCGCAGCTGCAGGTCAGGATATACAAATAATCAAGCTACATAACTTGCAGGTTTGTAAAATGGATCAAATGAAAATATGATCATATAATTGCAAGTGAAAGCTCATTCACCCCGGAGTTTAGCCTCGGAATGCAAGCGATAAAAAGGCGAAATGTGTTCTCCCTGAAGAACTCCTGAGTCAATTGGGCACAAGCATCTGGATTTGGCTCTTCTTCACCATTTCCATAAAGAATTGTTCTCATTTGAGAGATGGTTTTGTTCAGTTCAGATATCTGCATAAGTTCCAATCCAAACACAAAGTCATTTTCAATATCATGGGAACAGAAACGGTTAGGAATCACGGGTCCCCACAATAGTATGATATTGTCCACTTTGAGCATAAACTCTCGTGGTTTTGCTTTTGGTTTTCCCAAAAGGCCTCATACCAATGGAGATGTATTCCTTACTTATAAACTCATGATCAACCCCTTAATTAGCCGATGTGAGACTCCTCTCCCAACAATCTTCAGCAATCCTCCTCTCGAACAAAGTACACCATAGAGCCTCTTCTTAATCGAGGCTCGACTTCTTCTCTGGAGCCCTCAAACAAAGTACACCCTTTGTTCTACACTTGAGTCACTTTTGACTACACCTTCGAGGCTCACAACTTCTTTATTCGACATTTGAGGATTCTATTGACATGACTAGGTTAAGGGTATGACTCTGATACCATGTTAGGAATCACGGACATCCACAGTGATATGATATGGTCCACTTTGAGCATAAACTCTCATGTTTTTACTTTTGATTTCCCCAATAACTTCACGCCAATGGAGATGTATTCCTTACTTATGATCACATGATCAACCCCTTAATTAGCCGGCGTGGGACTCCTCTCCCAACAATCCTCAACCATATGCAATTTCTTGCCATATAAACTAAATAATCTATTAAGTAATAACAAATATCAAGATTGATATGAGCCTATTGCAACAATCAACAAACGAAATTCAAAGAACAATACCCTAATCTCTAAAATTGAAACAATGGTGAAGAAACCCAGAGGCAAAATCGAGAAAATCGATAACCTAGATGAATTTTTAACAAAATCATATAGAAAAACAACCGCAATAAGAATAAATAGGTACCTTCTCTTCCCGTTTTTGCTCACGAACCCCATCGCTCCGGTCAATGAAGAGGAGGAGCTCGTGCGCGTACCGGACGAGCTCCAATGGCGATCGTGGCTTCGGCTTGAAAAGGCCTTTCATGATCTTTAAACGGGTTCAGAATAATGATATTGCTGTTCGTCGATCGTTTGAATTAGTTATAGGATAACAATATCTGGGTGGAAAAGAGAAGATAAGAACATGTGAAGAGGAGAAATTGGGCGTCGTTCTGGTACAGGCTTTATTGGACA